CTATGTCTGTTTCTTCTCATCCCATTGGTCAATCTGCTGGCAATTCTGGAAACAAAGATGACATGAAGATATCTAAAACTGCAAATATTTCAGTGGAGACTCCAAAGATTGTGACATCACTAGGACCTGTTGGGGCGACTACCATAATGCCAGCAGGTATATCTGACATGTCGGATTGGAAACTCAGAACATTTTTGTGACTTAAAAGCTTTCCTTTTTGATACTTGCTAACATACTCTTGTATCGAGATATTGCTAGTTGTATTGGATTGACTGTACTACACTAAAAGTCCATCCCGTCCTCCATAATGCCCCTTAATCCCTGTGCTTTATTTAGTTTTTCCTCTTGGCTACCTCTTGTAAGATTCCTCTTAATGCTCTTCAGTCTTCAATAGCCTGCTTTAACCCAACCTCATTGCTTCTTATTATATACATTTTCTGCAGCGGTTCCACAGGCTAGAAAAGCATCTCTGGCTCGGTTTCTTGAGAAGCGGAAGGAAAGGTAAATTAAATGTTTCCTGTTTTGCGTTCTTGTTTTGTTTTATGCTTTAATTTAGTTGTGCATGTGCTGTATAACTATCATTAGTTCAGGTGTGCCTTTGCTGTATAACTATCTTTGGCTAGCTGTCTCGTAGCTTTCTAGAAATTATTGAATGCGTTAGTATGAAAGGATCAATTTTTTGGATAGTAGATGAGATGACCACCGAAAATATAAATTACCGCAAAACTAATTGTTCTTTCTGATCGTCGTTGACCATTTGAAATATGGTTTATAGCTTATCTGGCATTTGCTGAGGTATTACTTCAGTCTAAGATTTGAGACACATATAACTGCATCTCCATCAATTGGATACTCATGAATACAACACGAACACAATGTAAGAAAGTCTTGAGATTTAAGTGCCAATCATGTTTGCAGGGTGATGAACGCTGCACCATATGGCCTCAGCAAGAAATCGGGTGAGTGCTCCACCCCAGAGTCTATCGGAGTTGGTTTCTCTGCAACTTCCAGTGTTGGTACTAGTCCTCTGATAGCCGGTAAGGAGACCTAGCTAAGATGTCTGAAGGCAGCCTATTGCCATAAACCAGTGAAGCATAATCTATTTTATTAAGTAAGTTAAAAGCTGTAGCTATCAAGTTTTGCTGTTTTAATTGTAATATCAACTTGGTTAGCTTTAGCCAGACTTCCTAGTATCCAATTTGTTTGGTCTTTTGCTGTACTTAATTCTCTTTCATCTGAACCTGATGGAGTTCTCCCATCGAAATGACTTCAACACTTTGTAACTATTTATTCCGTTACATTATGTTTCACAAGTATATATATTAATATTATTTAGTAATTACATGCTTCCTTATAGTTTTTATAGTCCATCATGTGGGCGCCAACTCCAAATTCTCTCCCTTTTTTTTTTTGTCAAAATGGAAGGTGGTTCTATGGGCCTCAACCATGCTCGGGAAATACTTTTCAAGTCTTCACGAGGATTGACTCGAGTAGTTCTAAACTTTTTGGGGTTTTAGGTACTATAAACCAAAGATTTGGATCTTCTCTTTTTCAAGATTTGATTTATCACTCTACAAATTAACCATTGCACTATATTCGTTTCGCAAAGTGACACGGAAACCCCCTTATTTGAAGCCAAGTTTAATTTGCTTTATGGGAATATTATGTCTACCAAGTTATAAATGTGTTGTGTATCTTAAACAAATAAGCTTCCTTTCAAATTGAAAGAATAATAAATTGATGGAAACAAGAAAATATTCTATTTGAAGGTCAAATATTTATTTTGGACCAAACATGTTAAGTGGGCGTTTGGACATAAGAATTGTAAAATTCCAAAATAGGGGAAAAAAAATTTCAAGTGAAAATGGTATTTGAAATTTAGAGTTGTGTTTGGACATGAATATAATTTTGAGTTGTTTTTTAAATTTTGTTAGTGAAAATTTTAAAAAATAACTTTATTAAGTTTTTTAAATTTTCAAAAATTTACAAAATGGATCTTGAAGTGAAAATTATAAATTTTATAAACAAACGCGAATTTTAGAAAAAAAGTGATTTTTTTTTTGGAAAAAGGAAAAAAAACAATTATGTCCAAACGGACTCTAAAATTGGATATTTTGGTGGAGATAAGGAAGAGATTGATTTAACGTCACTATTCACTAGTTGTCAATACACAGCTTTCACGTGCAAAAGGGTCAAAATCATTAAAAGCTTAAACATATGATCCAACCATGTCTTTGAGTGGCTGTCCTTTTATACCATATATTTACATATACTTTTATTATACGGCGGTGGTTGATTTCAAAATCTTTTAAGTAACTCATTGATTGATGGATATTGCTTTACAAATTGTAGCACGTTTTACATTTTCTTTCCCTTCCGTGGGCCCAAGTGTATAGTGATTGCTTGGCAGTTGTAAATTTGTGTCGTACGTGTCACGAATTGACCACAAAACATGCTTCTATTAGGAGTTGTGATTTTTTTTGGACTCAAACGATCGAAATGTGTGAAAAAAAAGATAATAACCAAAATATGTATAACGCTCTTTTAAAGGGCGCTATACCTTAACGGTTGTTTGTCCGTTAAGGTATAACGCCCTTTTAAAGGGCGTTATACATGAATTTGAAAAGACGGGAGGTATAACGCCTTTTATTACCGCGTTATACATATTTTATGGACCCACCAATAATTCTTCTGGGCTTAACTGATATAACAATAATTCACATGGGTATAACGCCCTTATTTTAGGCGCTACACGTAAAAACAATTGTACCCCGGGACTGGTTTTTGCCCTCTTTAAGGAGGTTAAGAATTTTCTAAAAATCCATTCATAAATATTCTCAAGTCTTATGAAATATTTTTTCGTTAAGTTATTTTGCATTTTGTCATAATGTCTGAAAAGCGAAAAGTAGATGTTTTATTATATTGGGGGGGTGAGGTTATGGTGGCGAATAACTCAGTAACATATAGTTTATGTCCACAGTGTAATGTTAAGTTGCCACTTACAATGGAGTACGATACATTAATATCGTTGTTATGTAAAAAAATGAGTGCGAGCAAACGTTCAGTGAACCTTAAAGTAACTGAAAGATATCCATATTCTGTCACTACGCAAGGGGTTGCTTGTTATGCTGAGTTTAACATCGAGGACGATGAAACTCTGAGAGATTTTTTGAGGACTCCTGATGAATACCGAAAATTTCTTGTGATAAAAATGTTGAAAATGTACGTCAAGGTTAAAGACATTCGCAATAATGAGGTTGCGCAAAGTAGGGATATCGCTCAGTCATCGGGTGGTTATTTTGGAGCAGTTTTAGCCGAACAGGTTCCGGCTGAAAGAGTTTGGCCTGATCTAAACTTATCTCCACGGATGAATGAGGAGCGAGGAAATAATTTCTCTCCTAATTTACATGATCCACAAGACGAGTGGTAAGCTTCAATTTTCTTTTGTGTTACGATATTTATTTTTACTGTATTGAATTTGTATTAACACTCATATATTTCACAGGGGGTACTGACCAAATATGAATTTTAAAAGTTATGTACCAACGCCCAATTGGAATATGCCTAGTTCTGGTGTGTTGGATCATGGTGGTCCATCCGGGAGTCATCACCAACAGGATAATGTCCATCATGGTATGTCAATACATTACGATTTATAAGTGAAGTGATATAGCTATATGTAAAGTATTTATCAATTTGAGTAACTCATTATTTTGTTGGTTGTGCAGTGAAAACGAGCATCTTGAAGGTCCTGTCGTTACTCAATTGCCCGAAGACGATATATTTAATCGGGATCTAGCAGATGCACAGAGTCAGGAAGAGAATAGTGATTATGACAACAATGCCGATGAGTCTGGAGATGACATACCCTTCCCTAATGAGGGTGATGATGAGGAGGAAGAGAATGTTGGACCTGATTTGACGAGGGAGCATGCTCCACCCTCGTTAGACCAAGAGTGTACGAGTCCCACGTGCCGTTTCATTCAAGGGAGATTCCCTACCTTGATCATTTGCCAAGTATGCCGGATGTGGATGCCCTCAAAAGGGATATTGACAAAATTCGGACAACAATATGGGATGAATCTAGAGCAACGGTGCTGTTAAAGGGCATGCTTTATCCCGATAAAACGCGCCTAACCATGGCAGTGCTAATGTATAGTGTAAAAGAGTATCGTGAGATCACGGTACGCGAGTCATCTCCAGATGTATATAAGGTAGTCTGCCGTAGATGGTTTACGGGTTGTAATTGGATGATGCGTGCGAGAAAGAAGAAAACAAATATGTGGGTTGTGGGTAAATACATTGGCACTCATAATTGCGAAATGGACACATTCAGTGGGAATTATTTTAACTTGAAAGCTGACTTGATTTCTCTTGTCTTGATTCCACACATTGAAGCGTCCATAAGGTATAAGATCAAATAGTGTATAACATCCGTCCACCAGGAATATGGGTGCACCATTACCAAAAGAAAGGCATTTCTCGGGCGTAAATATGCGTTTGAAATTGTTTATGGTAACTGGGATACGTCATTTGCATCTCTACCCAGGTACATGGATGCATTGCAACACTTTAACCCGGGGACTGTTGTTGAATGGAAGCTTGAGCGGAGTTCGGGAATACCAGAACATATATTCAAATATGTGTTCTGGGCATTTAAACCAGCAAATGATGGTTTTCTGCATTGCCGGCTGGTAATATCCATAGACGACACTCATGTCTATGAAAAGTATGATATTAAGCTATTGATTGACGTTGCAGTAGATGCTAATGGAAGTATATTTCCCTTAGCCTTTTCTATTTGTTCCAATGAAAGCCAAGAGACGTGGACACTATTTTTGAACCACTTGAAAGGGCACGTTATCAAACAATGTTCAGGTATTTGTCTAATATCTGATCGGCATGGTGGTATTTTAAGCTTAGTACAGAATTTGCGTGCATGGCAGGAACCGTATGCCTACCACCGTTACTGTGTGAAGCACCTGAAGGCCAATTTTCAGAAGGCATATCCCAACAAGAATTTGCATGATTTAATGTGGATGGATGCAACAGATCACCAAGAGTGTAAATTTAGGAGGCGCATGGAATATATCAGACAGGAAGACGAGGGAGCCTATCGTTGGTTGATGCGACATGAGCTTGACAAGTAAAATTTGCATGCGGATGGTGGCAGAAGATGGGGAATTCTGACTACAAATGTGTCAGAGTCTTTCAACGGGTTATTGAAGTGTGCATGAGGATTGCCTGTCACTGCCATGGTGCGGGTGTCATTCAAGCAGATGGCTGAGAGGTTTGTTGAAAGGGCTAGAGGTGCATCGTCATTGATGGAAAATGGTGTTGAATTTATGCCAATACCAATGAAAAGATTTGATAAATACATGAAGCAAGCACATTGGCATTCATTTTTGTAGTATTGCAACGAGCGAAATATTTTTGAAGTTCGCACCGCTATCCATCACAACCGGGGAAATAATACACACACTGTTAATGAAGCCAGAAGGTTATGCTCTTGTGGGAAATAGTTCATCTACCACATGTCGTGCTCACATGCCATCAAGTGATTTCAGCATACAGGTTTAGGGGCAACCAACTACGTTGATAAAAAATATAGTGTTGCTGCATACTTAAACACCTATAGTGGGCAGTTGCAGCTAGTGGGTGCTGAGCATTATTGGCCGCCGGAACCATTGAAAATGGTGTGTAACAAGGACTATATACGTCAACGACAGATGCAAAAAAGAACGCGTATACAGAACCAAATGGATGTTGGTGATACCGTTTATGCGCGCAAATGTGGCATATGCTCGCAAACAGGACACGATCGTCGTAAATTTCCTTCAGCTGGTTTGGGTGGCGGTGGTAATCCAGCTCCTGGTGAAAGTTCATCTAATGTGCCCAACTATCAAGAATACATATAGTATTTTGTTTCCGTAATATGGTTGTAATAAGTGTATGTACTTGTCTATCTTGCTGAATGTATGAAATAAAATTGTGTTTCCATTGCTGTTAAATCTTATTGATATTTAACATTAATACTTTAGTATAACAATCTAACATAAAATCATTTAAAAAAAAATAATTATCTTATCGACCTGAAAAAGCTGCTCGCCTGCAAAAGCTATATTCTGAAAAAGTTGTATTGTACTCGAAAGAATCTTTAACATGCGAAGCATAGCGCAGTGAAATACTATTTTATATGGGCTGTCTTGTCGACGTAAAAAGCTGCTCGCCTGCACCCTAAACCCTAACTTCTGAAAAAGTTGTATTGTACCCGAAAGAATCTTTAACACGCGAAGCATAGCGCGGTGAAATACTACGTTATGTGTTGTCTTGTCGACC